TAAAATCTTTAGATTACAAATTGAGGGTCGTCTTATACATGGAAGTAAGCTGAGACGAGAACAAAAACAAGTGGAGGGGAAAGCAGGGATCAAAGCTATCCTGCAGCACTTTGATCCCTTTCCCCCACCCTTGCTAAGCCCCACTTAGAGTTCTTAATTTTGAATTATAAAAGTAGGGGGCATCCAATACATGGGGGTATCTTATACACAGAAAAATATGGTATATAGAGCATGGTCTCTGGCTCCATCTAGTGGCCAGTTCTGGTAACTTCATCATAAAAAATATACATATTGGGGAATATTTCTTTTGATATTTTTTAATATTTTCAGACCTTGGATAAGTGAATCAGTGGATACTTGTCCCACAGATAAGGGAGTACTATTGTATGCGAAGAGAGTACACCTTGCACAGCAAAGAATGGTTTCTGGTTACTCATGCTCTCCAGATAGGTCCACAGTGTGTTCTAAATAGCAGTTTGGAGTGGGAATGGTAAGAGAAACAGTGCTGTGGGGGGGAGAGCAGAGTAGAATAGCTCCGTATGCTAGTTTATGGATGTAAATCTTCACTTCATTCAATCTTTCAGGAGCCAATGAAAAAATTCAAAAGTTTTCTCCCAACTAGATGAAAATACAAGGGTTTTTGCTCATGCTGCTGATGGGGGAGAACCTTTTGCTGTTCTTCAAGAATGAAAATCCACTCTCAATTTGCTATATCTTTATCCTAGGTTGAAGTGATCCATTACTGCTATGGCCAGGAATAGGAAGCACCAAAGAGGAAAAAGAAGGGATGCTACAAATGAGGTGAAATGAAGGTGCAAACAATGCCTTTGAAACAAGGAAATGGGTTTTGTTGTAGGAACTTTGCCTAAAATAGAAAGGGTAGTAAGCATGCCATGCAATGCTTGCTACATTTTTTGGAGAGAGCTGAGAGAGAGGAAGGGAGGAAGTGAAGACATCTCCAAGAATATCAACCTACACCAAATGTACAAAGCAGACAGACAAGAAAAAGATACCTAGGTGGTCTTAACAGAGTAGTGCTTGTGTTAATGAGGCAGCATGTCCATCCATCCATCCATCCATCCATCCATCCATCCATCCATCCATCCATCCATCCATCCATCCATCCATCCATCCATCCATCCATCCATCCATCCATCCATCCATCAGTATCTGTCAGTGCTCCTTTGCAGGTCTTCTTGGATTTGTGCTGTCCCTTTTCCAATGTCCAACAGGAAGGCAATCAATTTGGGAAGAGTGCATGATATGGATTGGTGCAGAGAACAACAGCCCTAATCTAGCACACCCTTGCAATTCATGAGCGTCCACTTCAAGTGCAACCAATTCTGAGATTTGGAAATGGGTAGCTGACTTCTGCACATACAATGACAATATTTGAATGCAAGGGGAACGTTTCTCAGTTAAGGGCTATTAAAATAACCTACAAACAAAAAAATTATTTTGAGTATTTCCTTTGTTCCAGTGATGTTCACATAGGATCCCTTTCTGAACTGTGTCTGTGCTAAAGTGACTGCATGTACCATTTTGCCTGAATTCTAGACATGCTGAAACCCCAGATTATCACTGAGCAAACTGCTCTTTCATTTTCATCCAATTCCTTAGTGTTGAAACACATATAGAAACATATAGCATCCTCTCACTTTCTGCAGCTCATGAGGAATGTCCAGAAGATGTTTGTCCTCATCTGGGTTCTTTCTGTGATTGTTGAGTCTTCAGTCCCTTGGGATTATTTCTCTTAGATAGCTGTCTTTGAGCCTGAAATCCAGCTTCTCTGACTTTAATCAGGAGTCTGTCAAAAAGGCATATTTAGGTACTAGTAGCCAACCCCCCCCCAAACAAAACATAAACTCCCCGCTACATGTTGTGTTTATCCTGAAAATAAAAAAAGATCAGGCAGCTGGAATCATATTATTCATTTTTGTGTGCTCAACATTCATTACTCCTTTGCACAAGCATAACCCCCACCCCCTTTGCCATGAGGGTTGTATAACCTCAGGCTGCAGATGGCTTAAAAATGGTGGAGTACTTTTCCTGCAAAGCCGTCATGCTCTGTTGTTAGAATAGGATTCTGGCCAACGTTTATTATAAAGAAAAAGAAAACTGACTGCAGCATTTTAAAAACTGAGCAAAGAAAGACAAGACAGAAAAATAAATGTTCCTGTTTCTGATCCGGACCCCTACTCAGAAGATATTACAAAATGCAGGTTTCTTTGCTGTTAGTTACAGAATCTGCTGCTTTTTAAGGATTGTACTTGTTTAAGGGTTAGGATGTTTTCATCAGCAAGCAACCTCTCTGCATCTGCATCCCATCACAATCTGTCTCTGTGTCCTGGAATCTCCAGATACTCTGAACAAAAGCACTCTTCTTCTTATATATGTCTGACAGTATATTGGCTTCAACCATTGTGCTGTTTGGAATTATGAGTCACCGAGTTACTTGCAATTTATGGTGACTCTAATAGGACTTGTAAAGCATGTGAAATGTCAAAGGATTAATTTGCTCTTGCCGCCACCCCATCCCCAGGTGTTTCCATGACCCAGTTGGGAGATGAATCCAAGTCTGCCGAGTCCTTACTCTGACACCTTATCCACTGCATTGCAGCATTATATTATAAATTCCTAGCAGATTATTTCCTCAAAAAAGTTCCAGACTGTGGTTATCCTTCCCTGAGGTCAAATACACATTTTGGAACATTTTACCCATGAAAAACCATCCTGTCTGTATTCTTAGATGATATGTAGATGATGTCACCTAAATCAAACTTGGAGACTTGCATTGTGCACATTAGTTCAAAAACACAAACCAACAGTGTTAGGAAAAATCTTACAATGCCTGCTATTTCTCAATATGTGTAAGCAAGTAAGTAAATAAATTTTGCTGGGAGGCTGATCATGCTAGCTCTGACTCCTCTTTATTGGGAACTGAAAGAAAGTTAGAAATCCAGCTGTGGCAGCAGCCATGTGGCTTTTTAATGAGAAAATCTTGATTTATCTTCCTTTTATGGCAAAAATCTGCTTTATATTAAAATAAAGCAACAAATTATATTTAGACTATGTTTGATTAGCATCTTATTCCATTCAGATAAATTATTTCACCCTTTAGACTGATTCATCTGTGGCATCTACAAATGTTTCTATTAGGATTTATGAATGTTATTGATTATAATGTGAAAGAATGTCTTCATTTTCTGTCTTGATTGCTCCAGTAGCTGATGTCAAAAACTTGTGCCAAGTTTGTTTGTTTCTTAAACATTTGGACCAGGTTCTCTGCCTATGACACCTGAAATAGTAAATAGTTAAACTTCTTAAACTGTTTTTTTAAAAAAATAAAAACTACAAAATCTACTACAAATCACCTAAAAATCTATGGGCAGATCTTCATCTGCCTTCCACCTTCTCCAAAAGAAGAAAAATCTATTGTATAAAATACATGAAAGCCATAACAGCCAAAAAAAATTTAAAAAAATACACAACTGAGGCTCACATCACTACTTGAGGACTTGGTGAAAATGAAAGATCTATGATTTATATACCACCCCATTAGCACAAGCATGACACTGGGCTACATATTTATTTATGATTTATATACCACCCCATTAGTGCAAGCGCGACACTGGGCTACATATTTATTTAAATGTATTTATTTAAACTATTTTTAACTCACCTTTCTCCTTAGAAAAGAACCCAGATGGCTTACAACAATGAAGAGTTGTCCCTCCATTCCACCGTCTGCCACTGATCCCCTCAAGTGGCAATAAGACCAGTGGAGTGACTCCAGCTTCCCACTGTCACAAAACTCCAGCTTCCCACTGTCTAGAGGAACGTGGTGAGCAGTTGGGTGAAATGCTGATGAGAGAGAAGGAAGAATGTTACACTCTCCTCCTACCCTTCCTCCCAATTCCAGTCAACTCAACCAGGGCAATTAAATTAATTTCTGCTCTGACTGTTGAATGAAATGGTTTTACAAAATAATCCATATCCTCCAACAACATCTTTCTACTTTCCTCCTACTGGAAACAGGCATCTAATCAGAAAGGTTTGAAAATATTTCAGCAGGGATGAATGAATCAGGCCTCCATCAGACTGGCAGGCACCATGCCCTCCTCTTATAGTGGATTTGCATTCACTGTTAAAGTGGATTTTTTTCTTTTTTACAATGAGTATCTTTGACAAGCCATAATGGACAAGAGTGGAATTGGCAATAGGTAATGACCCACCTTTTTATGTAAATGCTTGAGTGGCAGAAGGTGATTATTTCCCAACAGAGCCAGATATACAGAAGTGTTAGGAAACCACCCACCACCACCTTTTTCTGAAAAATGACAGAATCAAAATTAGAACAGGTACACTGGGGGTGGGTCTATTAATACTATGGAGACAACACTCTGCAAACTTGCAGACACCCCCAACACCTAAGTTTTCAGGAGAGGGATGCCTTTCACTTACATCTTTGGATATGTATTTCTGTTGTGTTCCAAAGGAAGAACAGCACAGATGTGTTTTCTACGTAGACTGAAAACCAGGAAGGTTTTGTGAAGAATTCCTGTTGCTTGTGCTCACTAGGAACAGGACCTCCATGTTCTAATGAAAGACTCAGAACATGAAAGAGGCTGTCTTTCTTTTTTTCTTTTCATTTTTGTGTTCTTTCTTGATTGTTCTGTAGCTCTAAACATCATTACGTTAGCTTCCCCACGAAATGTCGTTCAATTACTTTCTTTATTGCAACATACAGGCAAAGGAAAATGGCCACACTGGAGCCAATCATTTTTATGTTTCCTGCCTGCCTGCCACAGCTAACCAACTTACTTCTACAGCCAGGCAATTTACATTCTTCTTGTCCCACTGCAAGAGAGGCAGCCACTACTATGGCTATCACAGCACATGAAGGAGAGGGGTGGGGGGGGAAAGATCACGGGTAGGAGGCAGCACAGCTTCAAACTTACTGCTGAGTAATCTAGCCCTTTTTAATGAGTAGACTGGAGGGGAGAGCAGCACAAGGGGCAGTCCGGGTGGGAAGGAGCACAGCTGGGCTGCTTGGAAGCCGCATATGCTATCTGGAGCTCACTAGAGGCAAAGGGGAATATAAATATGAGTACGTGAGTACATGGAGTTACTCTGTGCATGTGCCTGGGAGGGAAAGACACAATGAGGCAACTAGAGGGGAAGCAGCATCAGCAGGGGAGAGGATTAATCTTGAGAATTAGGTGGGGGGGCATCTCTCCCTCTGCCGCTTGCATTCTTCTGTACCAATTCCAGTGGGGACCAGCTGCCATTTAGTGGGCATGACTCATTTTTATTTGCAGATTTGTTAGAAGTGACTGGGTGCAGCTCAGCTTGCACACAAGAAGGTGCCTGTCCTTGCAGCCAGAAGGGTAGAGAAAGGGTCTCCTTGGGTTTTTCCTCAAGTGTACTTCTCTGCTCCGAAGTGTGCTGGCTTTCCTTCTACCTTAGACTGGTATTCTTAGGGTTGTTGATCTTCCTACCTTTCTTCGCCCACCTCTTTCTGAGGAGGGGACCTCTCACCTTTTTTCTCTATAAATGAAAGGGACAGCCATGGGTCCTGGTATCTCCAGCCTATTTGGACCTAGACACTTCTATCACCTTTCCTATTTCAAGAGTACTTATCTTGTACAATGTAATCATTCTTATTTCCTTAGAAGTGTGGACGTGATACGGGTGATCTAACCCCACCCACAATTCCCTAGACATTCATGTGTTCAGTACATGGTTACCATTAGCAGCAGTCCTGATAAGGACTATGCTTAGGGCACCTCCATAGGACTTCATGCTGCCAACATGAAGGTCTTCAAGGTGGCCTTGGGGGCGTGAAGGGCAGAGCTTACACTCATGCTGCCGTCCCAACTACCCCTTGATTCCTACACACAAAACACCTAAATGGGGCTCGAATAGTGACCTATGAGAAAGCAAGGTCTGAATGAAATCTGAAACATGTTTCTGACAAATAATTTGGAGCTGCTAGGTTCTCTGACTATATCCATAACATTGGCACTGATTAAGACCCCTAGCCATGCCATCTTCATTCTTGTCTCATGTATGCACACATTCATGTTTGAACGGGATGTATATGTAAACGTAGCAGGACTGTAGTCTAAATTCAGTGTAAATGATTACTGGTTCTACTGTAGAGATATGACTTTTAAAAACTTGATTGCTCCATGGAGTCTGTTACTACAGTGTTAATTAATTGCACATACTGTATATTAATGTTAATTATACTTCTTGCAGCACTCTCAACTGGCAACTGGGTGTACAGTTCGTTTGTTGTGGATTTCAAGTGTTTGCAGAAAGTAAACATAATGGCTGGCAGCTGCACAACAGTATTCCACGGGGAAATTTCCGCTCTTCGTTTCTCTGCTCTCCCTCCTGTGACACTGAGGTGTTAGCATTGGGGGACGTGCCCATTTAGAAGGGAAAACAAAGCTACAGGCATGTTTTTGAGTTCAAGTCTGCATTTTAACCCTCCTGAAGTTAACTCTCTCTCTCTCTCTCTCTCTCTCTCTCTCTCTCTCTCTCTCTCTGTGTGTGTGTGTGTGTGTGTGTGAAATGTGTGCGTAATGTGTGTGCACACATGTGGCAGGTGTGTATAACATATATATTGTGTAAATGATCTGCATGAAGTGCGAATGACCACAATAATGTTGAATGAAGAATGTCTGCAGTGCTGAGAGATTTTTTAAAGCCATAAAAGGCCTAAATCTAACTGTCATACCCACCTAGAGCAGACAAATGGAATTAGTGGGATATTACTAAGCCCACATTTATGCAAGGTCAATTGATTCTATTAAAATCAACAGCAAAATGCAGTAAAACAAAGCAGCCACATACAGATGCAATATTTTATTTTCCAGTAAGTTCAGCTCATGTCTTGCAAGCTAACAGCTGTGGCTTCCTTTACTGAATCAATCTGTCTCATGTTCGGTCTTCCTGTTTTCCACCCTCCCTCCCCCCATTTTCCCCAGCAGTATTATCCTTTCTGGTCAGTTTGTGTTTTTTTTTCATCATATGTGCATGGTAGGATAACCTCAGTTGACTCATTTTTGCTCTAACAAGAGCTCAGGCTTGACTTGACTCCCATCTCTAGTAAGAAGTGGTTACTGGTGTAAAAAGGAGTCCGCTTCTACAATTTATCCTTGCTTTGTGTCACTTTGTAAACAGTATTGAGCACAAGAAGGTACTATCCTGTAGACCAGAGGTCCCCAACCCCTGGTCCACGGCCCAGTGACAGTCCATGGACTGAGCTGAACCGGGCTGCGGAGACAGATCTCCCGCCCCCCATGCACGCATTCACCCCCACACAGCTGATTTGTGCGTGTGCGCATGCTCCAGCACACCCATTCGAGCACCGCACCACTGTTTGTGCATGAGCAAGAGCACGTCCACACAAATGCCACAACACTGTTTGCACACGTGTGTACACTCATTTGCACATGCGCACAAGTGCGGGGTGCCCCACCTTCCCCAGCTGGTCCGCAGGGTGAAAAAGGTTGGGGACCCCTGCTGTAGATTATCTTGGCTGCTGCCATTGATGTTGTCAACATTCAGGTTGCTCTTTGCTATGTACAGTTTGGTATCTTTTTTCCTCCTGGCAATGCAGACATATTGTGTAGCAATATCAGGACAATATCTTGGTGTTTTGAATTGTGGATACGGAAGAACAATATTTCACATTCATAAAATGGAGAGTTGGATTTTTTTTATAAATAAGATTATCGCACATAGCTGCCTAGTAGCTACTAGGACTAAGACTTCAGGATTCAGATTTGTGTAATGGAACTACTTTTGACCTCACATCCATATGTTTATGAGCACTACTTTGTGTTGCTTGAGCTTGTTCTGAGAGATAGCTTGGGTATGTATAGAATAAGGACTCAGTTCTGCTCTCTTATGATATTCTGACACACTTTTTCCAAACTGTTCGGATCATAATAAATCTTCTGAAAAATACCATTTGAAATCTTCTGAAAAATACCATTTGTGCTCCTTATCTTTACACTTTGACCTTTGCCTGCTGACCCTTTCGGTCCCTTGGTCCTGTGTAAAGGCTTTGTCTGCAACTCAGGAGTTGCCCCTTCATCTCCTTTGTTTCTCAGGGATGTCTTATAAAATCTGGGAGTTCTCTAGCCATCCCCATAACCCTTATGACAGCAGGCCATGTGAACCTATCCCTCCTGAGCAAAAGAAGCACCAGCAGTGAAAACCTGGCCAGCTTGCTGAGTTCTCCTCTTTTCTTCCCAGGTCTTGAGAAGAAGGAGAACAAGGACAAAGATACAGTTATGTTCAGCTCTTCCAAATTAGCTCAGAGGAGCTGCTGCAAAGAATCTTGCAGAAGTTATTTTTTGGGCTATCGTCCCCTGAGTCTTCTAGCCATTAGCCATGTAAGGTGGGGGGTTGGTGGAGGGGGTTCAGTCCATAGGAGTATGTTTCTTCTAAACTACCAAACAATGTGTCTGAGAAAGGTTTGGATGGTGGGAATGGAGATCTTTAGTCACTGCCACCAGGAGGTTACCAGCTTTGGGCCAGTGGCCTATGCAGAGACAAGACCACTTGCCTGTTCTCTTTGAGGCTCACTAATAGAAAGCTGCACTAAATTCTCCTTGAAAGAGAGGGCAAACACCATGTCCAGGAAGGCATAGTTTGGGTGCCTCTATTAGGTAAAACCTATATGTGGGACAGGATGCAACAGTTAGAACTGGATATGGAACAACTGATTGGTTCAAAATTGGGAAAGTAGTACGACAAGGCTGTATATTGTCTACCTGCTTATTTAACTTATATGCAGTGTACATCATCTGAAAGGCCGGACTGGAGGAATCCCAAGCTGGAATTAAGATTGCTGGAAGAAATATCAACAACCTCTGATATGCAGATGATACCACTCTGATGGCAGAAAGTGAGGAGGAATGAAAGAACCTCTTAATGAGGGTGCAAGAGCAAAGCGCAAAAAATGGTCTGAAGCTCAACATTAAAAAAAAAACTAAGATCATGGCCACTGGTCCCATCACCTCCCAGCAAATAGAAGGGGAAGATATGGAGGCAGTGACAGATTTTACTTTCTTGGGCTCCATGATCATTGCAGATAGTGACAGCAGCCACGAAATTAAAAGACGGCTGCTTCTTGGGAGGAAAGTGATGACAAACCTCAACAGCATCTTAAAAAGCAGAGACATCACCTTGCCGACAAAGGTCCGCATAGTCAAAGTTTTGGTTTTTCCTCTAGTGATGTATGGAAGTGAGAGCTGGACCATAAAGAAAGCTTACCACTGAAGAATTGATGCTTTTGAATTGTGGTGCTAGAGGAGACTCTTGAGAGACCCCTGGACTGCAAAGAGAACAAATCTATCAATTCTGAAGGAAATCAAGCCTGAGTGCTCACTGGAAGGACAGATGCTAAAGCTGAGGCTCCAGTACTTTGGCCATCTCATGAGAAGAAAAGACTCCCCAGAAAAGACCCTGATGTTGGGAAAGTGTGAAGGCAAGAGGAGAAGGGGATGACAGAGGACGAGATGGTTGGACAGTGTCACCAAAGCGACCAACATGAATTTGACCCAACTCCGGGAGGCAGTGGAAGACAGATGGGCCTGGTGTGCTCTGGTCTATGGGGTCACAAAGAGTCGGACACAACTATAAATGACTAAACAACAACAACAAATTAGATAAAAGTGCCCTGCACAGTCATCTCTGATGAAAACTCATTACTGAAGTAAAGATTTATTATGGTGGGAGTTGAAAGCAAACATATCTGATGTTCATGCTTTTAAACATAAAACTTAATGACCAACATGTACATGAATTAGTCATCATTGGCCTCTATTGAAAGAAGAACTTCCTGTAGTAAGTGGTCTGTTTAAATGGGCTGCTTAAAGAACTCCTCTACTGAAGAGTCCTATATCTATTTTAGTTGTCAATCACAATAGTAGACACATTCAATGTAGTATTAAACATTATTGAGATTTGATCCTGTCCATAACATCTACAAAACTAGCCTTCATATTCCTATTTGCATCTCTAAACATTGGTTTGACAAGGAATATTTTGTAGTTTAAAAAATGGTTGAGAAATACCATTTATATGGGGA